GAACTAAAAAATTTTTTTTTACCTAAAAAAAATTCTCAAAAAAACATGAAAAATCGGGCTCCTAACGCTATGTCCCCCCTTAAAAGGCATATTTGATAAAAAGAATTCAAATAAAATAAATTGGAATCACCGATCCTTTCATCAAGTTCAAGGTCAGTTAAACATAACACAGCGAGATTATTGTATTTTCACATGTGGACGCCTAAAGGCTTAAAAATAGTGCGTGTTGATACAGACAAAACATTTTGGATAGATGAAATGCTGCCCTTTCTAATACGCTTTTATTATGAATGTATGCTTCCAGAAATTTTGGATAGCCGTCACAACAGGCATATGCCTATTAGAAATGCATTATAGATGCTAAAGAAGAAGCGTCTAGAAATAAAATTAGACACGAGCAACAAAGTAGGCAAAAAAAAATTCTAAAAAAAAAAGATATGCAAAAAAGCAAAGATGTAAAACAAAACGTTTTGCCAACAGACACAACAAACATTGCTGTTGCTCTGAATACAGAGCAAGATAGCGACTGCATCTTAGTCAGTTATTATAACAAAAGACAAATTCTGACTAAAAATAAAGTGGTGAAACGTAGAAAAATATTAAATGATATAATTCCTGCTCTTTCTGTAATAAAAGAGAATGTTCTGCCTATACAGAACTATGTCAATGTTGAATCATTAGACAGATTCTTGCTCGTCGTTAGAGAAACTTCATGTTTTGAAACGCAAAGCGTTCAGTATATACAATTCCCAGAACTTATTACAGCCAATGATACTGATAAAAGCTTACAAATCATTGGAGGGAATTGTACTAATCACTGGCGATGCATTTTCTTCGACGGCACAAAACTTCACGTGTATGACAGTATACCCGGCTGTACATATAAAAAATTGATAACGAAGGAAAAAAATTATATTCACAAACGTTTTTCCAAAATAAACGTAAGTGACATAATTTTTGAAAAAGTGCAAACACAACCGGATGGTCTGTCTTGTGGAATTTACGCTGCTGCCTTTGCCACAGATGTAGTTTTGGGAAAAAATCCCTGTGAGGAAATGTATAGTAATGATGTAGAACTTATGAGACGTCATTTCATTACTATTTTAGAAAATAACAAATTGTCGCCTTTCTCAAGACAGTAAATTTCTTTCACTATATCACACAATTAAAAACTAATTTATTGTGATGTAGTTTGTTTTTCAAATCACTGTTATTTCAAACATGTAGCATGTGATTTGAGTAAAAAAAGTAGTGCACTTATTGCTAAATGTGTACATGTGTGCGTATTAACATATTTGAAAAAAGATACGTTTATATGCATGGCACACAAGTAAAAGACGGAGAGACGAAACTTTTGTTGGGCGAGACGAGAATGGACGGCGGACGGGGCCCATTCATTATCCTAAATATTTTATTTAAAAAATATAAATAAAGCTAGAGCCAAATGTAACGCGAGCTGGCAATTTTCAATAAATAAAGTCAAGCGATTAACGTGTACTGGGCCATTTTTACATGCATATTTCTTTTTTGTTAGTAATTCATTATACTAACATGTGATATGTGTTATATTATCGGATGATTTGATAATATACGACGTTCGGCGGGACATACGCGCATACATACGCGTGACGTAAAGCGGTTTTCGCTTGTTGTGTGCCTTCCTTTACCGTGGTGCTCGGATGCTGACCCGAGTTTGTATTACTGCCATGATGTAATGTACAAGACTAAATAGGCATATACTAAAAAATGTCTAATAAATTAAACTAATTGTAAGTATGAGAGGGGTTCAACTGCCTACATTCCCATTTGCCAACAGCTTCGTTTGCCCACAACATTTTGCCGACAGCTTCAATTGCCGACATTCCCGATTGCCTACAGAGCGATTGCCTACAAGCATTATTGCGCACATTTAAAAATTAAAATACAAACGTACGTTTGCACACAAGACATTATTGCACACATACACATTGCACACATGACATTATTGCGCACATACACATTGCACACATGATATTATTGCCACATAACACATTGCACACATAATATATGCGCACATACACATTGCACACATAATATTATTGCGCACATTTAATAATTAAAAATACAAACGTACGTTTGCACACAAAACATTATTGCACACATACAGATTGCACACATAATATTATTGCGCACATTTAATAATTAAAATACAAACGTACGTTTGCACACAAGACATTATATTGCACACATGACTTTATTGCGCACATATACATAGCACACATGATCGTAAGGGACACACAAAATAAAGGAATCATATTAACACTTTGCGCACATATACATTGCACACATAACCATATAGCACATATACACATTGCACACATGACTTTATTGCGCACATACACATTGCACACATGACTTTATTGCGCACATACACATTGCACACACGACCGTAAAGCATACACAAAATAAGAAAATCATATTAACAATTTACACACAGGATATTATTGCGCACATACACATTGCACACATGACCGTAAAAAATACGCAAGATAAGAAAATTATATTAATACTTTGTACACAGGATATTATTGCGCATATGCACATTGCACACATGACCGTATTGCGCACATACACATTGCACACATGACTTTATTGCACACATACACATTGCACACACGACTGTATTGCACGCATACACATCCCAAGGAGAACAGAAAGTCAATATGATGTCGAACTGATATTATTTTGACTTTCTGTTTTACTTGGGATTGCACGCATGACTTTATTGCACACATACACATTGCACACAAGTATTACTCACATAAAATAGAAAAAATCACAACTTTGACATCAGGAGCGATTTAAATCTACAGAAAGAGAGAGAGAAAGAGAGAGAGGGAGGGAGGGAGGGAGGGAAAGATAGAGAGATCTATGCAACTGTTAATTCGATATCTTCTTTATTTGATTATTCACATACACATTGCACAGAAAAAAAAGTAGTGTCAAATCAAATCATATTTTACATCTTAAAATGCTTGAATTTTACATGTAAATGCTTGAATTTTACATGTAAAATTATACAGTATTTATATCGTTATGGCGCGAATACGTTATATACGGCGCAAAAATGCTTGAATTTTACATGTAAATGCTTGAATTTTACATGTAAAATTATACAGTGTTTATATCGTTATGGCGCGAATACGTTATATACGTTATATACGGCGCGAAAATGCTTGAATTTTACATGTAAATGCTTGAATTTTACATGTAAATTATACAGTGTTTATATCGTTATGGCGCGAATACGTTATATACGTTATATACGGCGCAAAAATGCTTGAATTTTACATGTAAATGCTTGAATTTTACATGTAAAATTATACAGTGTTTATATCGTTATGGCGCGAATACGTTATATACGTTATATACGGCGCGAAAATGCTTGAATTTTACATGTAAATGCTTGAATTTTACATGTAAATGCTTGAATTTTACATGTAAAATTATACAGTATTTATATCGTTATGGCGCGAATACAGTAGGAATATTTTTTACGACATAGTGGACATTTATGATCTTGCAATCGTTTTTGGCACTCACTACAAATACACAAATGTCCACATGGAACAAATATGTACGCGGCAGTAGCATTCAAGCATGTGCAGCATGTACCATTGGAGCGATTGCGCTGGCTTGATGCTATTGTACTAACAGGATGAAAAGGTAAGTGATCCTCTTCTTTATCGCTTAGACCAATCGTTCCAAAATCATCTTCTGGTGTGCGAAAAATATCTTCAAAATCTATAAAATATAAATTAATTAATGATAATAACAGGCGCGTGTTTTTAAAATAAGATCAAGTCCATCGTAAAAAAGCTACAGTTAATTACCCAGCGAGAAATGACCTATCAATCGATGTCAAATCGACATCAAATCGACATCGAAATCATCGATATTACATCATATTGATGTCGATTCGACGTCAATTCGATGAGTCATTTCTCGTTGGGTATAATTATGAAAATCTTCTAATACAAATTAAGAATGCTTTAATATACACTTAATTTTTCTAATCACCGTTTCTAGTCGACCTCGATACACTTTGTACTGTAGCATCAACTTTTTTATAATCTTAAATCATTCTGCCGTCGATAAATTGAATCATTTCATTTTGTAAGTTGAACAAATGTGTGATTATGTGATTTTGAAAACACTGACAAGAAAGTCACTTTTAAGATGTAAAATATGATTATATTTATAGGCGAGATATTAATTGTAGGGAGAAAAGTGTAGGTTAAAAAGTTCACAGTCGAATCTATTCATCCAACTCTATAGAATTGACACTGATTTTCTTTGATTATTCTTCCATACTCTGGATAATCCCACAATGATTATCACATATTTTTACACTTTAAAAGTGTAGCTTTCTTGCTAACGTTTTCAAAATGATATGGTCACACATTTGTTCGACCTTCAAAGTGAAGTGATTCAATTCAGTGACAGCAGAATTGTTTGATACCTGTATAAAAAGGCTAATGCTACGATATACAATACAAGATGCACCGACGTCAATTACGTAGAAAAATTAAATATATGTTAAATTATTTTAGTTTGCAATAAAAGATTTTTATAGCCATTGTCGTATTCTTTATGGCCAATCGGATCTAACTTTAAAAATGTGTACCGTATTATGATCACAAATGGGAATATGTATACTAACCTTCATTATGCACCATCTCATTCTGATCGCTCGAAACTGCTTCTATTTCATTTTCTTCATTATGATCAGATTCGCTCGACAACACTTCTATTTGTTGACTTCCTTGTTCAGTGCTTGTGTGTCCTGAAATAATGACAATATTTATCAACATATTCATTAATAAATATAATTTTTTTAAAATGCTTTATTTTCCATTATGTCAAATTATTACATTTATAAAATCAATAATGTACAAATCTTTATGCTGTATTAATTGTTTAGATATTTATATCGGATAATAGTATATATCATAATAATCAATTCATATTTTTATTATTTTCAAAGTTAATCGTGTTTATTTTTAAAATTATATCGATTCAAATTCTTTACAATGTGATAAAATCCCGAAAAAGATAACATCAAATTGATAAAATACATATATTATTAATTAATATTATCACAGCAATGTAATTATTGTCAGTTTAAGGTAGTACTTTCCGCGACCATACCTGAGAAAATCATATTTCTTAGGAATATTTTTAAATTTTAACTGTATATTAATAAAAATAATACCTACACCTATGTAATGTTAGAAAAAAATTAACCGTACCGAAGCTGAGATATTTAAAGTTAAAGTTAGCACTTTTATGTAATACGTATAAAAAATGCTAACTTTAAATATCTCAACTTCGGTACGGTCAATCTTTTTCTAACTTTACAAATGCGTAGGTAGTATTTCTATTAATATGCAGTTAAAATTTAAAAATATTCCAAAGAAATATGATTTTCTCAGGTATGATCGCGGAAGTACTATACCTTAATATTTATTTCAGTTTACTATACTATATTATATAGCGAAAAATAATATGTTTTACCTGTGATTTCTTCAGTCCGTGAAAGCGTCGTAAATCTGCCGCGTCGTCCACGTCGTTTAGGAGGTCTGCCACGGTTCCTGCTTCTTGTTAGTTCGCCATCCAAAGTAAGTGTGTCCAAATGATGTGAAGTAGCTATGGAAATAATGTAAGTATATAGTCACACATAATACTCATCATATTCATTTCTAATAAAATAAATCATGTATCCATATCAATAATACATCCGATGTGGATACATTATTGATAATTCTCGATAGACATTTATTTTATTGAAAAATTTCCAAATATGAATTTCCGATATGAATGCTTCATTGAAATATAAACAAATTAAGTATACTAAATCTATCAAAGTTCTTTAAAATATATAAATAAAAACAAATTAACATTGGAAGTAATAAAATTTCGTCTCGGGTACCTACCTTCAATAGAATGAGCTTCTTCGATTTGACTTATGGGTTCGAATGTTTCAGCGGCTGGAAAATAAAAATCATTTTGTATAATTTTCTTCTTTTATATGTTCTAAAATATAACTTATAAGATATATACAAATTACACATTTTTATAAGGTATACATCTATACTGTATAACAACGCTCGGAATTAGTTGCACATTTCGAGCCGATTCAGGAAACGACGCCTCCTGTTCCCCCACTACCGCCCGGCCGCTGGCGGCCGAGCCGTCGATAGCTCCTCTGGCTCAGGAGCGTTTTATATTAGAAATAGGCTGAATTGTTTAGGCATCTCTCAGGAAATCGTAACATTTTCTTCACTACATAAATAATGTTTATTTTCATTAATACATAATATATATATATATTATTAT